TAAGATAGATGGATATACAAAATATCAATAAAACTCACTATAAATATCAACCGGTTTTCCTAAGTGATCCACAGACAAGCAGTATGTTTCGTCAATAGCGATCTCCTTTTGATCGTTATCGCAAACCGAAAAGTCGGATATATTCTGTTTGCAATAAATATTTGGTCGCGGGGATTTAGTGACGCCGCCTATAATTCTAGTCTCAAATAGAACATCTCCTTTTTGATGGAACATAAATTTACCGGCTATCGGACAGCGTATTGGAACGGGATTTTTTGCTAATAAAATTAAGAAAAAATTAAAATTAATATAATGTGATTGATTACTCTACCGGAAATACAACTCGTATTCATAGATCGATATTCCGTTCTCATTTCAAACTCATTTTAAATAATGTCTTAAGATATTAATACGGTTCTTAATATTTACGGTTATTGACATCTTAAAATTGTACTTAAGATTAAGTTAAGATTAAGTACTTAAGATTAATTTAAGACTGTGTACTTAAGATTTTAAGTATAGTATAAGAACTGACTAAGAATACCGGCCATAGTACATTCTTATTTCAAAATCCTGCTAAATAATGTCTTAAAATACTAATACGGCTTTGTAATTGAATTTTTTGACTTATGACATTCTAAGACTATACTTAAGATCTTGCAATTAAAAACCAATTATGAATATCGGTCAAACGTTAACTTTATATTATGATTATACCTAAAAACAGATCGTACTTCCACGCTTCCTTGTTAGGAAATTGCACCCAAGAACACACCGTATGGAAATCATCTTTTATCACAGCGACTCCACGTCTGTATCGGATAATATTGTGATGTCGCGGCACGAAATCGAAACAAACGTAGTCTTTTTGGCTGTAAATGTATCTCAATTAACATCTAAGTATGTATCTTTATAATATATGTATAAGAATTTTAATAAACTCGCTGAATTTTACGTCAATTAAAAAGATTTTTCTTACAAACAATCTGATAAACGTACCATCCATCAACGGTCAATCTCGCCATCATTACTCTTGAATCTCTTTGTTCACGACAAACGTAAACCGTTCTTCGAAAACGCGCTACATCAGGATACCAAGTTTCGATAATGTGCGTTTCATTAATAAAAATATCTGCGTCGATATTAGCAGTGTTTATCCAATCTCCGGACATATCCTCAGGTAATCGACAACCGGGTTCGACTACTTCAGCCTTAACTGGCGTGATCCGCAAACGTTCAGGACTTTTTTCAACGGTATTGAGAGTATTACATTCAGCGGTTATCGAAACACCGATGTACAAATCGTCATCACGATTCTTTAAGAAGCATCTATACTTTTCATCCTTCCGTGACTCCTTGGTATTTGCTACAGCGAAGAAATGATTCTTATCGACGAACCAATCGCCCAAGCAACTGTATTCTACCACTGAAAAAAAAAACGGCATTTGTATATCAAATGTATATAAAAATATACTTCACAAGTTTAGAAGCATTTATCAAAAGGAAAAAAAGAGTCTACTTACACCCGTCGTTGGTATTTTCCATTCCAGGACAGTGTTTGTAAGTGATATTAAATTTTTGATTGGTTATAAGAAACTGGGATCCCGCTGTCTGACAAGATCTGATTTGTGCGTCTGGATGATTGCATTCTCCCGTAAATCTAAAGCGATTCTGAAATAATAATGATAATATATAGATAAGCATTTTTGTTATACAATAAAGGCATAAATAATTCTATAACGATTTTCTTATCTTACTTGATAAGCAAACTGCCAAACTCCTTCCAGAGAAGATCTGCAATTCACAGGCACGTAATTCTCAGAGAATAATGTTATCAAGTATTGATTCGCGTTTAAACCTGTACAGACATTATCCACAGTGGGTTCTACTCCAGAGGGCAAATTCACACAAGTCACTGCAATAAGATATTATGACTGATAACATATATACTCGTGGATTATGTATTTATATATTGCTACATAATTTGAACTGGAGTAAACAATGTGATAATAATATAAACAATGTTAATGCAATAGGTGTTAAAGACTATGATAAGTAGATGAATTATGTAATAAAAAAGAGTAGATATACAAGACAATATAGATATGCTAGTCAAAAATAGTAGTTAGCTATTAATTTATAAGATATGAATGTGTATGGTTAAGACATTATTTGTAAACCAAGTCCCTTCTATGCAATGAGCTAATAAACTGTTAGTGAGTGCAAAAAGTATTTGTACGAGGGAAATTTTTATAAAAGAAGCCTTACTGTAAAAAATAAATTTTAATTAGCAATTTTATATAATAAGTATGCTATTTCACACACACATATAAATAAAAAAATTTGATATATTCCTGAAGTTAAATTTTTCAATTGTACGAATACTTTTTGTACATTAAATAACACAATTTTTTATTTTTGCTCATTTTTAAGATAATATATTTTAATACATATCTCTTTAGATAAAATAATTTTAACAAATATAATACAGTCTATTTTATTCTTCGTTAATAAATTGCTAATTAATGTTTACTTATTAAAAATAAAGTCTTTTTAAAAAATCTTTGCATGAATACTTTTTGCACTCACTATATCTATAATTTTTTTAAATTAACAGATCCATTCGTCACTTGCCTTCCAACTTTTCCAAGACATTTATTGTTCTGACAAGCAGTTTTACACAGTGATAACAGCTTTTATACAAATCTCGAAACACGAATGTGTAATTAACGTGATATTCTTCTAACATGTTTACACATATGCCTCGTCCAGTCATACTGTTAGCGTTTATTTCTGTTACGGTACTCTTGGATTCCCATGAAAACCAAGATCCCCTGATGGTCGGTGGAATTTGGCAGCCCCTCTGACCTGCAACTGTCAGATAATATTTTATTAGCATTAATATATGCAATTATCTCTTTTATCTGTATAATCTATTATTTATTAATAAATATATATAAACGTAAAAAAAAATTTTACCGTATAAAATAGTTAATTAAATTTTTAATGAATTCAGCATACATGAAATCTCTCAAATTTACTCTAACTTACTTGGACTCACTTAGACTTAAAATATAAAAGTATAACTTAGGAATAAACAAAATGTAAATATAATACGACGAGATATTAAGTTTTTAAACTTAATCAAGTGGAAAAATATCGTAATTTATGCTTGCACATACTTGACTTCACTTCGTAGAAATTTATAAAAACTTACCATGCCATACAAGGCACGTTACGAGAGAGAATATACATAACCAGCATTTCATCGTGCTATATCATTTGAAGGGACGAAAATAAAGTAAAAAATTCGATTGTGTGGTTGTAAGTTGTGATGATTAATAAATTTGAGGCAAACCTAAAACACACGCCCAGTACTATTAAGTGCAGTTTTAAAGCTACTTCAAGTTCTGACGTATACTTCAAGCGCGTTCTCATCAACATCTACACTTTTCTGTACTTTGTTGTGATAGAGTTAAAAAAAATATAATAAAAGAAAAGCAGCTAACTCTAGAGTGAGAGATAGGAAAAGCTTTGGATTAAATTCTTTTTTCTTCCGATATTTTTCTCTTTCGCAGGATAGATTTAAATAATTTCATACTTTGTATTCAATAATCTATAAATGTTTCAGTAATGCAAGAGTAGAGGAGTAGTGCGGGTAGCTTAATTCGATGTGAATAATGCTGACATCACTAACAGAGTTGTTAAGTGCAGCTGATTCATTCGTATTTATTGTGTAAAAATTACATTTTTTGAAATGTATTTAGTTGGATTGACTGGTGGCATTGCCACTGGAAAAAGCACAGTCGCTGCTGTTTTTCGAGAGCATGGCATTCCTATTATAGATGCCGATGTAATTGCTCGAAAAGGTTAGGAGTATTGTTTTTTACCCTGTCTGCCCTGTCGTCGCCGACAGATATATATGTGTTCTCAAATTTTGAATGACATACATATACATATTTTATGTTGTTTTATAATATATATTATAAAATGTATATATATATAATAATATTTTTTTCTAAATGTTATTACATATCTATATTTTTCTTTAGCAACATGAAATCCATTTAACACTGTAAATTGTAGTTGCATAATGGAAGCAAATGTCAAGTTTAACTGTGCAGTAATTTGTATAATTGAAATATTAATAAGCTGTAAGATAAAATTTGCCAAGAATTTAAAGTATTTACTGATAAATCAATTGCAACATCAAATATTCGTTATAGTGTCAAAAAATAGTGTTTATGTTTCCAGTTGTTGAACCAGGAAAACCAGCATGGCATAAAATACAAGAGGAATTTGGTCCAGATGTGTTTTTGGATACCGAATATTTAGATAGAACGAAACTTGGGGATTTAATATTTAACGATGTCGAAAAGAGAAAAAAACTCAATGCTATAACGCATCCTGATATATACAAAGAAATATATTGGCAGACTATCAAATACTTTTTACAAGGTCATCCGTTCATAGTTATGGATCTACCATTGCTTTTTGAGACAGGACACATGTTGAATTACTTGTACAAAATTATAGTTGTAACATGGTACGTATGGATTTCAATCACCAATGAGGTACTCTTAAAGAATGTGACAAAAATTCGTACACTCTGATTTAATTATTTGAAATTAATAAAGAAAGGCAGCTAACTTGTAAAGTAAAAAAAAATCCGATTAAGGACACAGAATGCATAATGCATAAAAAATGAACTCATCAAAGTTCTTAATTTCTTTCCTTTTTATCAAATAAAAAATTCTGATTGATTGATTTTCTTATGCTCTATGCATTATGCAAAGGTCTATGTTTCGTCTTTAAGTTTTCTTTTCTTTCGATATTAGTTTTTTTTTAAAGTTATACATCATCCTAAGTGTTTTTAATTTTTATTCCAACCAATTTCAAATACAATCTAACCAATTTGCTCCAGTTTTATTTTTAAAGAATTGACGGCATTTAAAAGTATTATCCGTTTTATTTTAGCTAAAATAATATCTTATATTCTAAGTTGGAAGAATATATGAAAAGAATTTTGTGGTTTTTTAAATATTTATAAATTGATCCTCTATGACTTATGGCTTTCAGTGAAGAAGACCTTCAGCTACAACGATTAATGGAACGAACTGGATTTACAGAAGCTAAAGCGAAATTAAGAATAGCTGCACAAATGTCCTTGGAAAAAAAAGCAGAGATGGCAAATTTTGTAATTGAGAATTCGGGCAGTGTAAGAGATACGAGGGAACAGACCGTGAAAGTAATTAATGTATTACGATCCTCCAAGCATCATTGGAAATTGCGTCTTTTAGTCGGGTTTTGTTGTACTGTACTGTTAGCTGGCGCGTATTGGTTAAAGAATAGAAGTTCGAAATCTCTATCTACTGCAACATGAAATTTTCTATCAAAATTATTTAGTTCGGAAACAAACGTTCTCTGTAAATCGTAGTCACGTGATAAAGCCAAGTGTGATTTTTTTAATTTTATACAGCAGCATTCGCAAAATTGAAATTTTCATAAAATAGATAATTATTAAGACGAAATTAAGTCGTCTATCTTAATGTATACATTTATGCGGATTGCAATTACATTTGTTGAACGAATCATTCAGCAGAGAAAGCAACTTTGCAACTATTGTAAAAATTCTTTAATATTGATCTTGCTCTTAGTTTCTCTCTCGATGGATTTAAATATATAAACCAGTCATGTTGCAAAATTTTATTACAATTGCTAAACTGCTTTCTCTGTTGAATGTAACCATTATGTTGTGTAATAAATTTAATTTTTTTTATTCTATAGAAAAAAGATTTTTATGCAAGTATACTATGATGCACAGGCTGCAATTATATTCTGTTACAAATAATTGCTCTTGTATAAAATAAAATTTTAATTGCAATAATAGAGCTAATGATGGAGTAAAGGGATATGTAAAGAATTGTGTGTACGTGAACGAGACGCATGATGTGTCTTATATATGTATATTTTATGCAATAAAAAATCCATATTGTAGAGTATATAAACCAGAGCTTGATCTGATAGAATAAAAGAAACATAAAACAAATAATGAATTCGATTGGCAGTATGCACTGGTGCACATTAAAGCCGTCGTACACAAAATAACTTAAAGATATGTTTATACGTAACATAGAAATCGATTAAATCTTGAGATACTCAATACATTTTATCGTACTATTAGATAAAATATATTGTATTTTATAATTCGAAATATTTACTCACTTTTATTCTTCTTCAAGTGCCATACACTATCTCAGTATGTAGGCGCTTCCCTCTCATATACCTTTGCGCGCACATTGATTGTACACAACGTATATGGGGGGGACCTATAGTTTAAACGCTGATTCCGAATGGTAAATTTTTGGTAGGAAGGAATGTCAGATAGGCAAATATACTACTCGATGGTTTACCGTTCCGAGAGGAAGGCAAGTGTATAAAAATTTTTCAGTTCTACCAAGGATCTTTAGTATATCAGATCAATACGCTATCTGCTACACTACACTCGCGCTCTTCACTTTTATACTTAAATTAAATCAATGTACAATGGCTTTAATATTTTTATATACCAGTGCACACTAGTGCTTCCAATCAAATTCGCCAAAAGAGATACTTAGTGAGCACTCGATCAAACAGCTCAACAGTACAATTGTTATGATAACAATTAGCGCTACAAGGTACTTTTTTATCGTCTATAAAAATGCGATTGTAAATGAGTTGGGTAATTAACAATGCATTTATCAAATTAGATGCAAACAGTTATGTAACGATAAATATAAATAAAAAACGGGTAATATATATTACTGTTGTTAGACTTTTCTCTAAGATAGCATCTTTAAAAAATTTTTTTATTTAATCGATAATGAAAAACTGAAATTTGCAACAACTTTGTTAGTCACATAGATATTTCGCATTTGCAAGTATTTGAGGATAAAAATCACGTTCGTCTTTTTTTTTTTTTAATAAAGTGCTTTTTAACATAAATTTATACGTAAAAGATTATACATTTGTATGCATATATAAAATACGCGAGTACATAGTGCTCAATTTCTTATGTTAACTATCGCAAAATATATACAAATATCGAGTCGTGATTAACAATATGATTTAAAATCAGATGCATACCCATTTAGTGTACAGCGCATTTTTTTACACACTGTAATTTCCTATAATATCATAAGTAATTAATACATTCATGTTGATATAAATGTAAATTTAAAATTACTTAATCATTCTAATAAAAAGCTGCTTATTTAAGTAAATTATAGAAACTAGCAAAGAATTCCATAAGTACTTAATTAAAATATTATTTAATGGAAATATATATATATAAATATATATATATATATAAAACCAATTTTCTTAATTAAAGTAGAAGTACAAAATTACTCTTGGTAAATAAAGGGGCAATGGAATATGTTAGGTACAATATCCCATACGGAATAGTAAGATTCTGCAAATCTGGACCAATAAAGCACGAACCTTTTCTCTATATTAGATATCTTTTTTTTAAATATATTACATTTATATTCTTTCTTCTAAACTTCTTTGTACTTACGTTAACGTATTATTTAAGAGATATCCCTTAATTATATTCCCTTATTTTACAATTTTTTCGTCGGTGCTCTTATCTGCCTGTTACTATTCTCCAATTTATCTTTACACAGAGATGAGATTAATATGATAATACATATGATATATATAACGCAAATAAAAGAAAAGAGTTAAAGGAACATAATGTCATGACGTAATTATATCTCGTAATTATAGATTGTCATTCCTGTTATTCTACAATTATACACACTTTGAACATATATAGTTGTCGATATTATCGACGGTTGTTATTGCGTAATTGTATATTATCGTATATTCTTATCGCGCTATTCACAGAGAGAAAGTAATTATATTTTACATATTCGAACACACACACAAAGAGATGAAAGAAAAATGATGTAATCAAATAATGATTTTAAATTAAATAATTGTTTTCTTTATGATTCAATCTTTGCACAAAAATAGAATGAAATAGAATGTAAAAAGATTTGAAGAGATGATGAATATTACATCAATATAAATGTATCTATTTACTACGGTGATACACTGCATCATCCCACAGCCGCTGGTTTCTATCTTCTGTGTGTACTTTCGAGTGTACTTGTAAGGGAAGTACAATTTCACATAGAGGAAAATGGATGCACATTATGATCCTTGATTCGCCTACATAGCCGAGTAGGTAGTACATCGTATATGTGTACATATATATCCTCTATCAGAAATAAAAGTTTTTCCTATTCTCATGACGCATTTATTGCAAGACAGGCCTAAGTTCTTGCGTCATAATAGGGTAAGAGACGAGAGGCGCGGTCGCGCCAGATATTGACAAAGGTAAACTGGCGGGTTGTTGCGTGTTCGGTGGTTGTTGATTAGTTGCCTGAGGAGGCCCGGAGCCGCTCATCGAGATAGTTTGTTGAGCCATGGTGACGATCGGTGGTGGTATCGAAACTGGTGCCATAGAAACCGCCGCGATAGAGACGGGTGCTACGGTCGCGATGCTCACAGGAACAGTAGCCACGCTGGCGGTGACTGTTCGAAGAGTACCCGCTGCCACGGCTGCGTTGACCATTTGTTGAGGTGTCGGAGCTTGCGACGGCGGAACCGTATTCGTAATCGTGACTGCCGGGACCGTTACAGCCGTTACGTTCGCGGTTCGCTTGCCCGACATTCTCAATTGGGCATTTTGGTCCAACAGAAACTCGTTCGTCGCCGTCAAATCGCTAACCTGGAGCAAGATAAAGCGTATATACAGTTAGAAGCAAAATCGATATTTCAAATGTTTTTATTTATCTTTTTCTTTCTTTTTTCTTTCTCTGACATACCTGCTTCTTTAACTCTTCTATCTTCTTTCTCAACAATGCATTCTCATCCTCCAGTACAATGGCTCGTGCTTCGTTACGCGGTATCACGGGATAATAATAACTTGGCGTGACTGTCGGCTGAGTCGCATGCTGCTGACCTACGATTGGAGAGGCTTCGAAGTGTACAACCGCTTCGCCTGATACTAATCGCCTCTTCGGCTCCGGCGGTCCGATGTAATCGGCTGGATGCGACGTGTTGTAACCACCGTTGTTAGCGATCAAATTGTTATGATGATCCTGCAGTTGCCAGTGAAAGCTGCCATTGATGAAACAAAGAGAAAAGAGACAAAATTATTACGATGTTATAAGTTTCTGTATAAGAGAAAAAAAAAAATCTATAGACTCAATTACGATGCTTACTTTCTGTCCTCTTCGTATCTGCGTCCATCGCCACCGACACCACCGCCGTTGCTAGTGCCATTGAAGTTGTGTTGCGGCCTGGACGCGTTATGAAGCGACGGCGATATTAGATTATGCTGCGGTTCCTCCTTCTTCATATGCCTGAACTTGCAATTCACCCTTTGACAGCTGCCCTTCAGAAAATCCTTGCAAAACGGATCCGACTTGTCATTGTTGCAGATCTTGGATCGATTGAGGACGTGAGGCGGCAGTTCACCGGTTGCCCTGAAACGCTTCTCCTCGCTCTCCGTGCAATGCAGGAACTTGCAGCCTGGCCAGCTACACTTGCCATTCTGGAAGTCATGGCAGAAGGTATATTCCTCCACGGGATCGTCCTCGGAACGCTCATGAAGGTACTTGCAACGCTTTCCGCGGTGACAGACATTTCTCAGAAAGTCTCGACAAATCCGACTAGCGGGATCGGTACTATCAGTCGCATTCAATCCGCCCGCCATCCCGATCGCCTGTTGATGCCCCGTTGATATCCCTGATGTTTCGCTGCTTTCCAATTTCACCTTCAATTTTTTCATCGGTGGCACATAGCGATCGCACGTCGGCGAGATTATCGTTGTACCCTTGATTGATCGACGAACTGGCTAAGCGTGGCTAATACGCGCGTCCCTGAATAAAAAAAAAAAAAGAGATGATGGATTAAAGGCGTATAACGATATTATTAGCTTCCAGGAAGGAAACTTGTATCACGCTAAATACGATGTACTTGTGATAAGCCAGTGATTTACATTTAAAATCTCATATATTTTACTTTTTAATTTCTACAGACTGACAGATGGATGTGGAATGGGTGTTGAGAGTACAAGAAACTTGCCATACTCCTCTTTAATTAATTAAGTTAGTTTTTATTTCCCCTTTTCGTATAATGGCTATTACATCGGTAGTAAGATTATATCAACATTATTATGTACAGCATTTTTTTTTATTTATTATATGTACTTTGATAATTTGATATATACGCTTGATCTGCCAAGAAAGTGAGCTCGCCTAAACGAGCGAGCGACCGGCTTGCGGCATTAACTTTTTTGGAAAATGTCACGTACATTCTAGTTCGCCGCGACACATAATGATCCACTATCTAATGCGATATAGTAGACATGGCACTCTCTAAACTAAACTAACGAATTAAGAAAATACTGTCAATTTCCCATTATGTTTCGTATCAAAAGAATTAATATAGAAAACTACGATTATATTGGATCTTCTCGCTTTAAGACGTTATTTAGACGATATCAAGGCCATTCCAAGGTAGGATCGATAGAACGGTTACTAAGTGCTGAGAAATTCACTTTCGAGAAGTAAATACATACGTATCCGCTTATTAGTTCATTTAGGTCGCTCAAACAGATATGCTCTTGTGTGTCTATTGTCATGCTACCCAAATATTTATACGTACGAAAGAAGAAAAATTAAAGTATTATTGTGCAACAAAGTTAGAGGGCCCAAGATTCGCCGCAAGACTAAGATCAAATTTTCGCTTGACAATGATGGATTTATGATCAGAAAAAAGACGCGAGATTAACGCAATATATATAATATACGCATGCTAATATATACGTGATGATCAATTCTCTCTCTTCCTCTCTCTCTCTCTCTCTCTCTCTCTCTCTCTCTCTCACTCCCCTGCAAAGATCGCTCTCAACTTTTCGAATCGCCCTCAACAAGAACTTAAAGAAGAAGCGTGTTACTTGATTCGAATGAGATGAGTACAATGAGTTATGTATCGTTTCGCGCGCAAATTCACTTTCTACAATTATTTATATACAAATGTATGTACGAAGAAAGTATGGAACAATTGAAAATGAGAATACGTGTGCGTTGTGTTTTTTATTTTGAGACGCGATATGAAAAAGAGTATTCTCGAAAAAAATTCTAGTAAAGGCTACATATTTTAATCTTTAGAATACGCTATGGAAAAAACATATCATTTTCAAACAAATTAATATGCAACGGAAAAAAAATATGATATATTATAAAATTGAGCCATATTATGAGATATGATACTCAGCAGCTTGGCAGCATGTTGAACATTTTACGTGGTATCGTGCCTACATTTTCTCCAGTTACTTTTACTCCTCAGAGAGCGTAAGTCGAGCTTCTGTGCTCAAGATATACATACATATACATTCAATAAACAATTTTTTCCTCGTCTTTGATCTTGCTCCTCCCTTTTGTAAGGCGCATTAACGCGACACATTCTGTGCTTAACATCGCACTTTATTTAACGAGAAACTCCTTATTTTTAACCCCGAGATTCGATTCGGAAAATTAAACAAATATATATATATATGTACACACAATTCTTAACGATTGTTTGTATAAAAAACATTAAATTGTGTTCGATATGGTCGTTTCCAAACGACGAAACGGATAAGCTTAACATAATTTACAATCAATTACAGTCGATATTGTAAAAGAATGAAGAGAAGTGGAAAGACTAAAACATTTGTCGTAGCGCGT